CACACACACACACACACACACACACACACACACACACACACACACACGCCGCTCACGCACACACTCCCACACGTGTCTAGCATTAAGGTTGCCTAACCTAATTTGTTTTTTATGTAAATTTTTATTCATTCATTATATTTGTTTAGAATAGCACAATTAGTTCAAAATGTATGTATATTTTAGCCCAGCCCTCGATACTCTTGTCCCGCATGTGATCTAAGGGAGAAGGGGGTGACTGAAAACCAGCGCTGCGACTGTCCTGGACAGGAGCAGCACCAGCTGAGACACCTCCTTTTGCCTCCTGTACTGCAATGTTTAGTTATAGTTGGTAGTCTAGTGGTTGATATATGTATAGTTGTTATTTTGTTTGTTGTAACAAGGAGGCAATAAAGAGAGATTTTATTTTATTTTTTTATTTTATAATAATTATGCTTTTTTATGACATTCAGACATTCAGAATAGCAAACAAGACCGCGTAGCAACATGTTGCATAGTGGGAACTTGCTACGCCACCGTAGCAACTAATTAACATTATAATAATAATAATTATAATGACACACACAACATAGTTTCGCACTAGGGAAACCCTGTGTCTCGGGTGCCATGGACACAAAGAGAAACTCAAAAAATTACACAAAACTCACGGCCATACAAATATTTTATCCTGGTCCGGGAATCGAACCCGGGACCTCTGCGTGGCAAACCAGCATGGTAACCGTTCAGCCATGGACGCAGGTAAAAGTTTTTATTTTGCTAGTGAATGTTACGTTTTTCTTATCTGACAATGTACCTACTTATCTGACATAACCCAATAATGCCTGCAGATAATCATGTTCCATGTTTTCAGACCGACATGACATAGGAACGGAATCAAAGCTACCACGTTAAAAAAATTCTGTCAATCGCTACGGTTACTAGCACACGTTCAAACTCATATACCTATAAATGAGTTGATGTGCTAGTTAAAGACAATTTGACAATTCTTAAAGTTTTCCTGGTTACTTTTAATATAATAGTTATTTGTTATTGTAGGCTGCAAAGTCGTTGTTTGACGCGAATGCCTGTATTGAAACATGAGCAAGCGAAGGATACGAAGATTGAACCACGAGCGAAGCGAGTGGTTTGTAAATAGAATCCTGAGCGTTTCAAGACACGAGACGCATAATTTGCTGCCGAGCGCAACACACAACTTTTCATCTCACTGTAGCGGGGAAAATGGTAGTTGAAAGAAAACTAGTTGAACTATAACAAATCAGTTTAGTTCTTCGAAGAATTCATCATCATCAACCCGTTATACGTCCCACTGCTGGGCACGGGTCTCTTTTCAGACGAGGCTTTAGGCCATAGCGCCACCCTGGCCCAATGCGGGTTCGTCACACGTTTTTTGAGGGTTGTGAACCTTCTTCAATGGGCAGGTTTCATCACGATGTTTTTCCTTCACCGAAAAGCTCATAATAAATTTCAAATTAAATACCGCACATAAACTCCGAGAAACTCAGAGGTGCGAGCCCGAATTCGAACCCACGACCCTCTGCTTGAGAGGCAGTAGGTCGAATCATTAGGCTACCATAGTTTTGTTTTTCTTCGACGAATTAAAATAATTTAATAAGCAAAATTAGTTATTGTTGTCAATTTAATGTCAACTATAATAAGAATAAAGTATATCAACGGATTTATATTACATAAATAGTGTACGAAAATGTTTTTTTTTAATCGAAAGAAAAAGTTAGGTGCACCACAGTCCATCTCGTCAAGTTCGAATTTCAAAAACCTTTTCCGAGCTAGTGAGGTGAAAAATAACACGTACGAAGTAAATGTGTCGTTTGCACGGTAAAAACCGAAGACTAGACGTCTGAACGCCTGGAGCTTTTACATTTTAGCAAACACACAATATCAATATTGCCTTACATTATGGCGTCAAGTTTTAAAAGCAGTTTGGTCGACATTACATCCTTCTATCCTATTATAATATTTTAATAACGTAAAATGGAAGAAGTTTGTGAAAATGAATTAAAAATACATGCTTTTTGAAACAAGCAAGGATTTTCTTATGTTGTAAAGTCTGTATGTTTGCATGTATTATTTTAGGAACAGCGTGGGAGTGTCATCGAAGGTGTTTTATACTGTTTATTGACATAAGTGCGTATATAAGTGAAATATTGTAAATTTTTGCAATATTATGTTCATGTGTTATTTGTAAAATATTAACAACCTTGGATTACTATTATTCCTAAAATCATCAACAACAACTTTTGTTCCGTGAGTTTTTACAAAACGTAAAAAATATAGAAAGAAAGAAAGAAAGAAACGTTTATTCAACCAGCATCACACATTGCCAGTATACAAAGAGTTACAGTTACGAGCTGAAATGGATCCAAACTCAGCATATGTCTGGTCACAGCACAATTATTATCAATTAAGTTTTTGTGGTACTGTCTGACATTTTTTAAGTCCGTAGTAGGCTCAAATGTGCAATTGTCTCCTCTCCGTCGACTCCCAGCCCCGCCTTTTTTTGTTTGCCGCACAGAGCTATATCATTTAGAGCTATTTAAAACTCTAGCACAAAAGTTGTTGTTTATGATGTTAATAATATGAAGGGACAAGCCGAACAAGTCGTAAGCTTGGTGATAAGTAACACGTCTGTCCTTTGTTGTGTTGTGGACAGTCCCATGTATTTGTAATTTCACCAGCACTCTTAGCCTTCAAAACAAGAATGCAGCAATGTTTATATTACTGCTTGTCGGCAGAAATAGGTAAGGTGCCAGTACGACGAACGCCTGGACGACAAGGAGCTCTATTGCCGCTGTATAAGTGTGTATTTAGCTAAATTAATAATAAAGTTAGAAAATTTCATCCATCTTATTTGATGTTTTTAACTTTCGATGTTATTAATTAATTAGCACAAAATGTATATTTTTTTGTATATTTAACAATTTGTTATCGTAAATTGTGATTAATGTAAAAAGTGAAAAATGTTTAGCTGCAGCATCGATCTTTATTACCATCGGTTTGAATTTAACTCATAAGTATAATAACTAATCTAAACATTAAGTTCGATTGCCGGTATCAGATTTGCCCTTGGTCATTTTACTATGTTGCATCATTAGACTCGATTTTTTATTGAGAATTTCTCCAAGATGGACCGGACCGCTGCGCCGCCTTTTGCGCCAAATCTTGTAACTCTGCCGCGCTTCTCTGTTAAAATAAAATTAAAATGAGACAAATAAGTTAATTTTCGTAGTTCTATGAATTTTAGTCAGCATGATACCTTACAATAATAATATTTTTATTACCTATTTTATATTTTTTATTAGATATATATATACGATTTGTGCTTTTATTTAAAATAAAAGATATGTGTACAATGAAACACAATATGTTTATTTTCACAAAACAAACGGTTTCTTTAAATGATGTTGATGTACAAGTTACATCCCTGTAAAAAAATGTTGTTTAAAATGATTGAATGCTAAGTAACCAAAACGTATGTCACTCCATTTCTTAAAATTCCTAACACGCCCTAAGTAACCAAATGGCATATTTTTCATGCTGTTACATTTTGTTTCAGAATATGAAATATCGTCAGACATCTCACGATTTGTTATATGACAAGAATTATCTAATGGGTCGAAATCTTTAGTTTTGTAATGTTTTATATCAATTGAATTATTCACTGGTTTAAATGGAAGCCTGTTGCGTTTTGGTGTAGTTCCAAAATTTTTGTAATAACTGATTTTGCTTTGGTCTTTTGTTGATCGTCGTTTCGTTAACAGAGTTGGTACTTTTGTGTTTGCCGCTGTTTTCGTTTGGCTTGTCATATTTTTCGTTGCTACTTTCTTTGATTCGATACTTGTGTGTACTTTCAGAGGCTCTACATCTTCTTTGTTTATATGATTCTTGTAAACAGAGGAAACCAACTGCTGTAGGGCGTTATCGTCTGGAACGTATTCATATTCAGAATTATTATTGTCACTTTTGGTTGGATTTTCTTCCGAGATATAAGGTATTTGAAAATTATCAACTTGTCTGTATTTTATTTTACCCGGTAGTGCAGTAATATAAATAAGGTTGGACCAGTTCTACTAATTTTGCTTGGTGTCTTTAATATTTGTCCGCAAATGGTACTTAAAAAAACAATTTTGATGAATGACGTAAAGAAAGTTTTCAATTAAGGTATACTACAAAAATATATGGCGTTCACCCTGCATTCAATTAACACATATAATACCAACATAGGGCGCACTATAAGTTTCCGGAACTGGCCACTTACATAAACAATATTTAAAAAGTAATTACAACATTTGAAAATGGAACTCTTTGGCCGTAGAATACAGTTTGTTTCATCTGACTGTCACTTGTTCTTACATTGTGGTGTCATTTTAGATATTGGTTGTCTACATCACCATGGATTTAACTCGTGAAAATTTTCGTAGTATGATTTTTTCGACTTTAAGTGTAATTTAACAGCTCAGCGGAGCTTCGCTCGGCTTCAAACTGCTTTTGGCGATGAAGCGCCATGCAAGACAACTATTTATAGCTGGTTTGCAGAATTTAAACGCGGTCGTGTGAATCTCAGTGACGAATTTCGTCATAGTCGCCCGTCCACTGCTGTGAACAACAAAATCATCGATGCTGTGCGCCGCATGATCAAAACAGACAGGCGAGTGACATACCATGAGATTCACAATATGTACACAAACATTTGGGTGTGAAACAACTGTGCTCTCGGTGGATCCCGCACAATTTGACTGAGGCTCAAAAAACGGATCGCGTCATTTGGTGCAATGCCATGCTTATCAGATACAACGAAGGGGCGTCAAATTTGGTGTGGCACATAGTAACAGGTGACGAAACATAGACTTATAGTTACGATCCCGCAACAAAGCAGCAATCGAGCGTCCCTTACGCTCGATTGCTCGATTGATCTTTCGAGATGAGCCGAAACCGACCAAAGTGGCACTCGTGCAAAGTGCCTCTAAGCGGATGATTGCTTCTGTTTTTATTAAAACTGGACACGTGGTTACTGTTGCTTTGAAGAATCGTTGTACCGTGAATAGTGATTGGTACACGACCATTTGTTTGCCGGAATTTATTGACAAACTCTGTAACAATAACCATAAACGCCGTATCATCTTGCGCCACAATAACGCCAGTTCTCACACGGCCAGACAGACAAATGAATTTTTGAAGGTGAACAACGTTGACCTTATGAGCCATCCCGCGTACAATCCTGACATGGCACTTTGTGACTTTTATTTATTTCCAAAAGTTACGCGGTCAACAAGTTTCATCACCTGAAGAGGCTGTTGAAGAGTACGAAAAATATGTTTCAGAGATTGTTACGGAGGAGTGGCATACATTTTTCAAAATTGGTGCATTCGTATGAAAAAGTAGTAGTTAGCTCTTCGTGTATTTTGGCATAAATGTCGCTCCTCGGGTTTATGTTTCATAAGAGTGTAATGAATCTTGTCTTGTTAACTGGACATCTTTAATTGTAAGATTCAATGGTCATTCGAGATATTTCATCGTTAGCGTTAAATAGTGTTTTTTTTGCATTTGTAGTTGTTTCGGTTCCCAGATATGAATGATGTTATTTTTATTATTAATAAAAGAATGTTTCCATGAAATAAAATTAGCTATCTTATGAATTTAAAGTGTTTCCCCTTTCAGGGCCCATTGATTTTTTTTATTCTCTACATTTATTGAAAATAAAAGATACGTTTAAGTTAAAATGCAAATGTTTATTTTCACAAAACATATATAACAGAAAATCTTTTAGAACCATGTTTTGTCTTTACGATACTTAACTGTAAAAAAGTAAAAAGATCTTATTAAGCTTGGTTTTAAAAGGAACTGAATCTCGATAAATCAAATGAAATATTTTCCCTTCAAATATACGCTCTCAAGACTCTTAAATTTGGAATTATCTGTATAGTTGTCGTCTGCTTTTGCACGATTTGTTTTCAGACTCGAATCACCAAATGCTTGGTCTTCCGATCTCTCGTGTTGTATCCTTAACTTTGATATATCAATTGGCTTAATTGGCGGACTATAAAATTTAGATTTAGTGTCTGAGTTTCTAGCCATGTTTTTCACTGGTCTCCGACATTTTGCTGCATCTATTGCAGGTTTTGATGTACTTGTCACAGCTCTGTATACTGTTGTTTCAGACACCTTTTCTGTCGCCGTGGCTAAAGCATTTTTCATATTGCTGTTTCGTAGCTGTTTTGGCTTTATCGTTTTTGGTTTGTGTGGAACTCGATTTTTTGTCTTGTTTAGGTAAACATAAGAAACTAGTTGCTGGAGGGCACTATCATTGCCAAGAGTATAGTCATCATCGAAATAGTTATCACCTTCAGGGTTTAAATGGTCATCAATTCCGGTTTTATTTTGTTCTAAATCTGACATTACAAGGTCACCATCATGTTTAAACATTTGTAGTTCTTCAGTAGTCATACTTTCGTTAGTTATCGCATATGTTACATTGTTAATAACATTAGTAGTTTCAGGGTTATTTCTCTGGGAGTTATTACTCTCAGTGTTATTACTTTCAGAATTATTACTTTCAGAATTATTCCTCGCAGAGTTAATATTCTTAGTAGTGGTCCGGCTTGGGATGTGATATTGACAAAGAATGTTATTGTTATCAAGGAGCTGCTTTGACTTGCGTCCTCTCAAAACGTGTTTGATTAAACTCGTATTAGCTAACACATATACCTATAAAAAGAAACCGACGTTATCATTTATTGTGATTTTGTCATAATTGATATTGTGATACCAAATTATAATATGGGCATATTATATATTAAATGTAAGTGCATAAAAGGTTTTCAATCTACAATTTAAATTTGACTAAAAAATGAATGCGGTAAGTTTTTATAATTAGAACCTCTATGATTCTTCAGCGACATAGTGCAGTGCTGAATTTATACTATTCTAAGGTAACGCAATGGGCTATTCCAGAGGCCTAAGTGGTTAACAAATTGTACCCAGAAAATGGGCTTCTGAAATTTATAATTTGTCATTTACTTTTAAAGCCCATTATCTAAATTATAAGATCGCAGATAGAGCGCTAGGCCACTTGTATCCCATATCCAATGACTTTCACCTTGATCAAAAATCTATTGCTTTTAACATGTACAAAACTTATAAATTCTTTTTACTTACGCCATTTTCATTGTTGATTCATATTAATAAAATTTTAGATGTAGGTTCCACTGATTAGCTCTTTGTAAAATTTGTAACTAATTGCCCATTCTAGCTAACATTTATTTATCAGTTACATGACATTCCATGTAATTCACCGTACAGTCTGCGTATGTTTATTTACAAAGTTATGTTTCGTGTGTTATTATCTGTTTTAATATGATGTCTGTGTATTTTTTTTATTTATTCAATTTTTGGTGTTGGTGTTGTTTTTGGTTTTGGTGTTGTTTGGTCTTCCCACTTTACAGCTTTGCATCTACATAGTACTCTTAGTATGTATTGAAACGTACTACCGTCCTAAAAGCGATTAATTTTATTCAATGTTTTTTATTAATAAAAATAAAACGACCTTGTTGCTTGTTCAGCTTTCTTACACGAGTATTTGAAGGGTTTCGCTGAGGTCCTTACGCATGTTTTTCATAAATACAAAATAAGCTGTTATCTTGCACAATATTGACAATTCGTGAAATTAAAAAAGAAATCAGTATTGTATATTACAAATCAAAGAGTTTTCTTTTTCACACTAAATCGGTGTTCAGTTAAGAAAACTCTTATAAATTCATTCTTTGTAGACGTGTTTAATCTACTAAGATACAATTTAAGTGCAAGTTTCGTGTACAAGCTCGCCATGTATAAGGCATAATAAATTATTGTATTAGCATCAATAATCTGACTAAAATCCATATTAAATATTTATAAAACAATTTTTGAGGTGTTTAATGTAGTACTTACCAAATAATTTCTTAACTGTGAATGGTAACAAAATGAATTAGTTTTGTATGTGTTTAATCATGTTCATTGTTGGGTTAGTTAGATTCACGAATGCGATTACTTGGACGACATTACATTTATTTTTCTTTATCTATTGGCTGCTGGCCTGACATTGCGTCAAGCAGGGAACTGTGGAAGTCGATAGGAGAAGCCTTTGCCCAGAAGTAGGACACAGCTGCAGGCTAATAAAAAAAATGGCAGCTACTAGGCTTGGCCGATGCTAGATTCAGTTTTGTAATAATATAAAAATTTTGCTGATAGTCACCACCCCACGTCCAAGGTTTTGTATACCACGGGTAGTTGTCAGGTTAGATTTCGGATTAATATTTACGACAACTGACCTAGAATGCTAAAGTTACTTTATAATAGACTACGCGAGGTGGTCCATAGAGCAACACGCCGCCTCACGTTGTAGTCCAAGATCCTCGTGCAGTTTTAGCTACTTCCTTTGTCAAAATATCGGAGACCACATCCTCTAATTTAAGATATTGTAGTCATATTATGTGATACAGTTGCATGCATTCCTGCAAAATACATATTGATCCGTAAATCAATATGCTTTATTCAGCTGCTGTGTATGTCATTTTTAAATATAAAAATCACCGTCTGATTGTCGCTGAGTCATGCCATCAACTTTTTCTGTGGATAAATCTGCAATCTCTTTTTGGAATAGCTTCTGGTGCTCTATATTAACTACTGGTACGTCAAGTAGGTACAATGGTTTCTTCACTTTATTCTGGTTCATTTAATACCGTTTCTTCTTATATACGTATGTTAATATTTTCCTTTTCATAGATCAAACTTTCAGATACTGTAACGTGACGGCTGAGGATAACAGCGTCTTTTATTGGTAAGTATATCCTGAAAACCTTTGTATTTTGCGCATAGCCAGTAAAGATCCCGACTATTGCTTTAGGGGCAAATTTACCTTTTTAAATAATTTTATGTACAAAAGCTTATTGACTGAAAACTTCTTTAAGGTCAAATGACTAGTCCATCTTTCGTAAGAAGTGTCTTTAATTCATTTTGCTGGACGTCTGTTAATAGGTAGTTGTATAATGTTTTTTTTACCCACAGTATTTCGGATACTCTTGGTTCCATTTTTTTTTATATCCTCGCCTTGGAGGTCTTTTTTTATATAATAACGCACGCACTCAACATAACCCCGCACTAGGAAACCCGCACCCTGTGTCGCGGGTGGCATGGACACACATATAGACAACCACAAATTACACCCAAACTCACGAGAGAAATAAATGTAGGCTATACAAATATTTCTCCCGGCCCGGGAATCGAACCTGGGACCTCTGCGTGGCAGTCCAGCATGGTAACCGTTCGGCCACCGAGGCAGTTCAGTTATTAAACATCTAACTTTCGATCGTAGTTTGGTTTTTCCATTCGCTCTTATCATTTTGTTGTGTCGTGTACGGGGCTGTAAGCATTCTTTTTATTCCATTTTCCATCAGACATGCATTAATAGGCTTTATTTTTTCTGTAATGCAAGTTTTACACCAATGTAACTTTTCGTTTAATTAAATTATTCATCGTAGCCATCTTTAAATTTTCCTTGTTGCCATGCCAACTTGTTATATCACAATCTTGGGTTGAAATGGGGTAATCATTTTGAGCTGCGCAAGCTGTTTCCTTTTGAAGGTAATAAATAAATAAATATAAGCCATTCCTGTTTATTCATGCTTTTTCATGTGGGATATGCATCTACTATGTAGTGCATCATTCTTCTTTATTTATTAGTGCCAAGTTTAGACAAGTGACGTTATAGTTTTTATCTCTATTTTCTTGTTTATACTTTTTGTTCGGATTAAACTTATTCCAACATTTTTCAGTTTCATCTCACTCTTTTTTTGCGTTTTTGGCACAATGTCATTTTATTTTTTGAGTAGAAAGCACCTTCATTTTTATTTCTTTGTACAATTATTTTTGATCCTCCAAAGAGGAAAGTTGGTCTCTTGACTCTACGGCGATCTAAATTTGTCATAGAACGAGATGAGGCTATTTAACATTATTATTATGTACAGTAAGTCACTATTTCAATCTATGCCTATTCTGACGAGCGTCTCGATCACATCCATAACGTCGCCTCAGAGTGAACCCTCGCATACGCGTTTTGACATAGTTCATTTTTACTGATTTTCGTTAAAGAAAAAGTTATAAACTTCTTGCTCAAATATATTACTAAAGTAATATAGTATTTGAAAGAGGCATAATTTAAATAACAATAATTATAACATTGTTGCGTTTACTACATTTACACCACATTTTTATCTTCGTCTTGGAAAATTATATAGAAATTAAAAAAAACATACGAGGTATTCACTCTCAGACGACGATAAAGTTATTATATGGTCATACAGGTGTTCACCATTATTTAACAACTTTTTTAATTTTAATTGCTTGAGTAGCGTGGCCTTCCTGGCTTTTACTCTGGTAAGATTAACATCGGACCCATATCGGACCGAAGAAATTTTTCTTTCTATTTGTTCGATCTTTACATCAATCGAACAACAAACTAGTGGAGTATTTTTACAGAAAAATAAATGAATATCATGGTAGTAAAACCGTCAAGTTATTCAATAAAAATAAAAATAAAATGTTTGGATTCAGTTATTGCAGATCGCAATCCAATTAGAATCGGTACGACTTTTTTTAAAGAAATGGGTTTGTAAACTTACCGCTGTGAAATATCTGGGATTGAAGCTGGACAACAAAAGCTAAAGAAGAAAAAAAAAAATTTAACATAATATGGTTGTTTACTTAAAAAAGTTACTTCATATTTTCTATTTCTTCTGATAAATATTGTAGTTCCAAAAACGAATCTAACACTGCCATCTTGTATTTTTTTAATTGTATAATTAAAAAAAATTAATCAACTTACATTTTTAGCATCTCCTTTGTTTTCATGATTCACTTGTTGTGATTGTTGCTAGAATAAAAATATAGTACGTTGATATGTTTTTGATAAATTTCCTTATAAATAATATTATCAAATTAAAAAAAATGTTTTTTAAGTTATTTGTGATTATTTTTTCATACCAGCTCATTAGGTGCGATCTGAAAAGTAATTGTGTGTAGATTTAAAAAAATATATCTAATTTAAGTTTTTTTGGGTTTAATATGATAATGAAACACTCATTATCACAAACTCATACGCACATCAAAAAAAGTTTGCGATCACTTCGAAAAACTGAAATCTTTTTTGTATTATGATTTTTTCTTCTTTTTAGATTCTTTATTTAAAAATAAATTAGAACATAAAACAATGACCCCGTTCAATTGTTTTTTCATATAAAAAGGCTTTCAGTCCTAGCTTACGCTCATTCAGAAATCTGATTTAGTCAATTATAAGCGATTCAAGATATTTTTCGCGGAAAGTTGTGATTGAAAAAATGCCAAGAGAATTACCAGAGGTTTTACGAGCTAGAATAGTAACTTTGAGGGAAGAAGGATACACCACGAGAGTAATAGCACGCAGACTTGCTATATCCCAATCCTGTGTCGTGGCTACGTTGCAGAGGTATCACGGAATGGGGAATTTAGCTGACCGACCCCGCAGCGGTCGCCCAACTGTTTTGACAGCTGCCCAAAAGCGCTATATTAGATTGCTGGCAGCCCGTGATCCAACAATCAACGCCACTAAAATAAAAGCAGAAGTCAGGGCCGCCTCTGGGCTTGAAGTTAGCACGCAGACCGTTTACAATTGCTTGCACCAGCCTGGATTACGAGCACGGAGGTCTTGGCGAGCTCCGCTCAATTTCCGGTAACGTCAACAACGAAGATTGCAGTGGGCTAGACTTCGGCAAAATGAAGAAGGTGAGGACGAAAACATTTGGCAAAACTGTCTCTTCGTTGACGAATACCGAATCAGCACTCATCCAGATAACCGACGTGTCCGTGTCTGGAGAAGACCAAGCAACCGTGAAAGACAAAGAACTGCCACTGGAACAGTTCAGCAAGGCGGGAAATCGGTGTCCTTTTGGGGTGGCATTATGATTGGAGCTAGAACGCCTTTGATCCCGTATCGGGGCTTCATGACAGCAGACATGTACAAAGCAGTTGCTATTGATGATATCGCCAGACCATTCCGAGTAAACCATGGGCACCAATTTGTACTGGTCGATGATAATGCGCCCGCACATCGAGCTCAACGAGTCAATGCTGCTCTTCAAGAATACGATATCACACGATTAGACTGGCCTGCCGGCTCGCCCGACTTAAACCCAATAGAGCACGCGTGGGATGCTCTTAAACGAGCAGTATGGAACCGTGAGCCACGTCCCCAGACAGTTCCAGAGCTCAGGGAAGCCGCTATTGAAGAATGGGATAGGTTACCCCAGGAAATGCTGGATAACTTGATCCTCAGCATGCCCAGGAGGATCTTCGCATGTATTCGAGCCAGGGGAGGAGTTATTTTATATTGAATTCACACCTTTTAATAATAAATTGTTGTTTAAGTTTAATTAAACAGTCTTTTTCTTTCTATGAAATTTCTATCACTATTACATTATGATTAATGGCTCAATTTTTTAAAATAAATAATAAAAAATAGTTTTATATTTTAATTTCAAACAGGGTATTCCTATTTAAAGAAAGCATACAACATAGATTTTTTCTTGATAAAGTTAAATTTAAAGAATTATAGGAGCTTATGCTATTGATCGCAAACATTTTTTGATGTGTGTACAACCTGGCAGTCACTAACGACATACATCAAAAATTCAAATTACTAACTTTTTCAATTAGTCCCTATTCAAAGCAGTTAACAACATTCTTAACCTATTCATGGACTGTAACAGCGTTTACCGTAAAATTAAATATTACAATAATTAATAGTTATTATGTAACAGATACACCACTCTGATATAAAATCGAAAATAGCTAGCTTTAATAGCCTACTAAATCTGACTAATGACACCAGGCGTTCACTACGAGGAAAAAGAAATCTAAGCACGCGCTCACAGAGGTAAATAACGTTGAGGTAAGGAAAATAACGTTGCTCGCTGTGTGCAATTGTGCGGAGTCGAATGTTCATAAATGAAAAACTTGTATGAGCACTTGCGCCGACGTCGGCGCACTCAGGGGTAGGCACTTATCGCGTAACCTTGAGCGAGTGGTGGAGGCCTGGTAAGAGTACCCGTTTCGTTATATATGAATATCAAAAAACCAACCATGGGCTTTATATAGTGCGTTTTACAAATGCTTTCTATGTACAAGTCAGAAGTGGGGATCAGGATAGATTAAGACTTTCGTGGTTATTCACTAAATGATTATCACTTATTACAGGTTTCTTGCCACGGTATGAGTTATTTTTATTTTCCCAATGTTTCGGAACAGTTACACACCTCATGGACACGGGTTGACTCAAAAATAATTCATACCGTGGTAAAAAATCTTTAATTAGTGATAATCATCTGGAGACTAAGAGTCGTATTCCAGAACTCTACTCAATGCTCAAGTCAGGACATGAGTATGATTTCAAGCTCTATAAATCATACATACTCATACTCAAGTATGAGTTATAAAATACAGGACACTTCTACTTTAATCTACTGTCTCTCAAAAATATTAATATTTAAGCGCTTTTATTAGAATTCTACATAATAAAAAAAAATGTTGGGACTGATAATCTATGGACTGCTTGTGTCTGAAAATAAATTATTTATCACCTCACTAGGCCGGAAAAATTTTCTTTCTCTAAATGTCATCGCAGTACTGTCTAATTTTGCTTGCTTCGCTGTCAGTCGAACAAACGAAGACTAAAGCGTGAATGACGCTCTGTATACGATTTTAACGCCCTATAAGTTCGAACACTTTTTAGCGCGGACCCGACCATATAATTGTAAGTCAATGTATAAAACTGATATTTTATGGTTTAACTGTTTTTTTTTCATCTATTATTAGTGAGGTGAAAAGTTGTGTTTTCCGCTTGGCAGCAAAGTTGTTTTGCATCTCGTGGCTTGAAACCCTCGCTACGCTCAGGAATCTATTTTTGAATATTAGCTCATTCTGAGCTTCCTTCGCTTGCTCAGGTTTCACTACAAGCACTCGAGTCAAATAATAACTTCGCAGCCTTAAAATAACTTTTTTTTATTACTCTGTAGGTATTTATGGAAGAAATGTACCAATTGTGTAATTATTGTTATGAAACAGAGAAAATATTTGAATAGAATTAATCTATTTTATTTTATTATGGGATAAAACAAAAATATATATAATAATATTAATTTTAATTTTACTCACGTATCTGAAGTGCAGTGACTTAAAAAAACACATAACAAAGTTACAGTGTTGTTATGCGTGAAATGTGAAGTCCAATTAATAAACAAATTAAGTCATTATAAAAATAAAATGAAATATATACTTACTCCTAAATAACGTGCATCAGGATTGGACTAAAGAAAATAGCAAAAAGTGAGTAAAATTGAAAATGAAAATTGTTTTGAAAAATTTGTACTATTTTTCATATGGCAACATTGCTATTTAAAATATATTTATATAAAATATAATAAAGATATATATATATCTGTTTAAAATTGCATCACTTACACTACTGCTCGGTACCTGAAAAGTAATTAATAAACAAGTATGGGTAATATTATTTTCTGTTTTCTAACTGTAAGTTTATCGACAATTTAAAGAAAACTAGTAAACTTGTTAATGCGCTACTCACGTATTGAACCTTAACTGCCTGTGATAAATATGAAAAGAAAAAAATTGTTTTATTTTATTATAATGTACTTTCATATTACATTTTAATAGAAGATAAAATATACGTGCTTCCACAAGGATTTAGCAAACTCAAAGTGCATAATGGAAGTAGTGACTTACGCCGCGGTTTCTGTACTTCTGAAAAAGTAAAGTAATCCGTTCTAATATCTATTTTTACATTTTTGTTATAATATATTACACAAAATACTAACCGTAGGGTTCGAAGGAGGCGGAGTAGGACTTGCTTTACTCGGTCCCGTGGCTAAGTTACTCAATCTTTGCAATAATGAAGCTATCGATGCTGAGCCCTATTCCATTGAAATAGATTTCTTTTATTAAAAATGAGGATTAAAATTAGTTTGAATAAAACCTTTTTGCCTTTTAGTGATTTTTTTATTTGTGGCATTGATGCTGCTAGAAATTAATTTATTTTTTAAAAGAAACGAATGTTTGCCTCTAGCTAGGTCAATATTTTTAGATAACATTTAATAAAAAAGCTATCTAAATTTAAATCTTATGAATATTAACAACCAAGTACACGCACGTAAATAACTTACTTTTCGAAACTAAACGTTTTATTGTTATTTTATACGGTCTCCAAAACTTACTTGCACCGGTTGAGCTAGCTGCACTTGTGAGTTAGCAGGAGCAGCCACAGTTATTGGCATGTGCACTGGTACTTGCTGTAAATGAAGACATTGTTTAAAAAAAATCCGGTTTTTGCACCCCCCATTTTTAAACACTGCGAAGCACCTAATGCGTATGAAACTCAAATTTGATCATTTCGTTAATGAAAATAAGAAAACGATTTTGGTGCAACCATAATGGATAATAATGATAAAGTTGTTGCATTATGACATTATACAATTGTAAAAAATTGAGAAAATATTTTTGGTTTTTTATTTTAATGGAGAGTTCCATTACAAATAAAAAAATAATGAAAATCTCTGGTTCTGTATACCCATACGGAACCAGAGATTTTCATCAACCAAAAAAACTTTTTCTCAAATGTACATTATCTGAAACCGGACCGTACGATCTTGTTTTCTTGTTAAACCCCCGTTTAACATGTTTCATTGTAAGTTGTTGAATTGACGTGAACATATGTATAAGTAGACGTAGATACGAGTACTTAATCGTTTTAAAATTGTGGTTGGAATATAAAGTTGTTTAAATATTTATATATGACGTTAAAGACCGAAGATCCATAATAGAATTACTTACGTCATCAATTTAAAGGACTTCATTGTTTAAAATTTTAATACCTATAAACTGGAATTTAAGCTTTTTATGGTTTATCCAAAAGAACCAATGTAAGTTGACACCGCGACATTAGCAATCTCTGGAAAGTACATAAATTTAAAACAAATCTCTTGTATAGATCGATGACGTAAGCAACTCAATCTCGATATAGTGCAAGTTTTGAGTTTTCAAGTGCGTTAAAATTGATGAGTTAAACATGGACCCTAGAAGCAGTTGATACCAACTGTGTGAGTTGGGAGTAAAAGATAATGTTTGTTTTAAGTTTTAAGAAATTTGACACTAAATGTGATATTTTTAAATGTCGTGTACGTCTTGTGCAGTTTAAGTGAAAAAGTGGAGGGTCCACATTTAATAGTCATTTTTTAATTTAAGCAGATAAGTAAAATAAATGTAATTAGACCTGCATGTACTGATCCTAAAAAAAAACACATGAATGAAAGTAATACGTGAATAGTGTGAATATATTAAAAACAAAATAAATTAAATTCGTCGAATAACTTCAATCTCTCTAAAAAGTTACCAACTACGTGAATGACAGTTGGATTTTGAAACTGTTCAATCACAATGCAATGAACTTATGTTATTTCTATGCGTGGGAATTCTAAGTTTAACTCGAACTTTTCTTACTTCATCATCTGCTTCCTATCTGATTTATTAAAAAGTTCCTGTACTTTTATTAAACATTTGAATCGAATGGTCAGGGATTGTTGTATATTTATAAGCTTATTTTAAGGCAGAGGATGACAAATATAAATAAAAGTAAAGAGCGTCGTGGGGCCTGTTCAGGGCTAGTTTATCTGAAACAAAGACGCTAGCTAGGAGCTACAACGATAAGAGCAACGCTTTTAAATAGAAGAAGAAGGTTAGTATAATCTTAAGAATCCTCTGTGAAACTTTTATTGAAGATCTAATGAACTATCAATTGCGAAATAGTATCTATGGGGTTTGAAATGCCGAAATCTGATAGTTTTTAATATTTCGCTCCTAACATCACTACCTCATGTCTGTCGTATTACTTCAAAATTTTTCTACGAAACTATACTTCTGCGAGCTAGGAATATAACGGGTGTGAGTCCAGTTCGGAAAGCTACAATTTTGGAATCTTTGAGGATAGACTAAACTACAATGGAAATGGGTTGGTTACTTGGCTATAACAAAGTAGGTCACGAGATCGAAATGGGTCTAAAGGTAGGTCATTACATTAGCCTGTTGTGAGACGACTTTGTGCTAAAAGCCAGTGGTTCTGCTTAAGAAGGGATTGAGAGTAGGTGATTACTAGCTAGACACACCCATCGTAAGGACATACGTGGTGTTGTAGAGATCCAACATGCTGTTTCAGATCTTTAAGACAATTAGTCAGTGCAATCAACAACTTTACCCTGACTAATATACAAAATTATGCACTTACATTATAATCATTTACATCAGGAGTCCTTAGGTCAGAATTTCTCAAAGGAGTAGTAGCTTTAACTGGAAATTGTTTAACAGTTTGTTTAGGTTCGTTAGGTTCTGAGACCTCCGATGACTTTTGTGGTTCAGGGACCTGATTCACTTCTGGCTGTACTTCCGGTTTCTGGTTTTGGGTCTGTTGGGTTTCTGATGACTGTTTAGTGTTTTCTCTTAGATTTTTTGCTTCCGCAGCCACTTGTGCGTTTGATTCCGCTTCCGATTTAGCGGATTCAAATTCGCGTTCTAACCTTGCTCGCAGTTGTTCATTTTCCCTTCTTTCTTCCTGCTCTAATCTTTCTCGAAGCGCTTCATTGCCTGCACGATCTGCTCGATTCTGAAATTTAAATGCTTTTAGACCCTGAAAATAGTCGAGTAAGTATTTATTTTTGTTTTCAGTATTTCGTTTTTCTTTCGAATAACATACTACACTGTTGACCTTCTTCCTTCTTGATAACGCAAGATTACTTTTGCATGGTGGTCTCTAGTTTCAGGAGCCAACGAGGAAATAAAATTAACCATCAACCGACTAATGGAACAACGCAGTGGTAAAACGTGATTGTATTACATTTTATTGAGCATTTGTGATGTTTGGAGTTAGTATATGCTGTATATTCTGACAAGGTAACTACAATGGCCTTTAAGTGGTCGCTAGTATGTTCTAGTATAGTTCAGTAATTGATTGAAAGACTTTTTAATATCAATGTTATTTTGTCAGTTGGTATAACAAGCTTTTACTTGTAAAATAACCGAAACAATGCGAGGATTAAAATCTTTCTTCGTTTCTTCTTGCTTTTGTATAATGAGGGCATAGAGTAAGGTCATTATTTACCAAAATGGAGCGAACATATACCTACAGAGTAACGCGTAGTAATATTAATGAAATGTTATTGGTTGCTAAACGAGTAGTTTTCTCACTTCTTCGCTCCTTATTGGTATATATTGACACGGTGATCAAAAATAAGAAGCAAAAGGTTGTACTTGGTACTTACAAATTCATGATGTGTACTTATCATTGTTGTCGCAAGTGTTGTGATATTGTCAGGCATCACGGATGTGTTCTTGAGAGGTTTATATAATTATATTATAATTAAATTAGTTACGTACGTGTTGTTAGTGTCGTTGTTATCTCCAGTGGTATTCGATGAATTCTTATGATGTTGCTTGAAATGTTTGAGTACGATATGGAAAAGCAATATTGAATCAAACACTCGATTAATAATATATTACTTTATTGAATACAGATTGATATTATCATTACAATGAAGAATCAACTTACAAAAATCGCTGAGATATGGGTTTCACAGAGGTGAATATGATACGATGATGTGTAGTCGTCCTCAGTCCATTTGAAAAGTTATAAGTGCTACATTTGGAGCTAAGAACAATTGAAATTTTTGAAATGTTGTTTATTGATTTGTCAAGGATTGTTTTGAGATTGTGCATAATTTTAAATATGGTTGTAGGTCGTAGTTGTAGGCTACTATGGCGCCAAATAATAGTAAAATCTTGCAAGTATCTTGCATCGTTCATTTAATACATTGTTGCTAGTGAATATCTTCTCTAAATACTTGTATGTTTGTAAAAGCCCATAATGTAGAGAAAAACTGCCAGCAAAGTCTATTGACGAAAGGAGTACCAATTCTCTTGATTGTCAATGCATACATAGTTGTATTGTCATTAACAGGCAAAACGTGTTGTGGCGTGCAAGCAATAATTTTAACATTTTATGTAATACTTTTGATCTGGATTTTTTCAATATGAGTGTGATTTGAGCAATGAGAGCACTGCATGAGCACTTTTTTACTCTTAGTGAGACTAACCTCTGTGGTTTTTTTTTGTAATGCTTTATATAATAAGTTAGGTAAATTGCGCAACCAGATTCCTTATTATATTTTTTTTTTGAGGATCTTTAATTGATTCTCAGTTGTTACTATTATTATTTAATTTAGTTTTAATCTGTAGATCTTCCTTTAAATAAATAAATATTATACGTGGGGTGCACTATACGTTTCCGGAATGAATAAGAAAAAAATACTATATCAGAAATGAATTTATCGTTGCTCAAAATATTCTCCGTTAGCGTTAATGCACTTTTTCATACGAATGAACCAATTTTAAAAATATTTATGCCACTCCTTCGTGACAATCTCTGAAACATATTTTTCATACTCTTTGACAGCCTCTTCAGGTGATGAAAATCATTGACCGCGTAACTGGTTCTTAATTTTGGGAAATAAATAAAAGTCACAAGATGATATTTCAGAGGAAGTACGCGGGATGGCTCATAACGTCAACGTTGTTCACCTTCAAAAATTCATTTGTCTGTCAGGCCGTGTGAGAACTGGCATCATCGTGGTACAAGATGATACGGCGTTTACGGTTATTTTTACGGAGCTTGTCAATAACTTCCGGCAAACAAATGGTCGTGTACAAATAACTATTCACGGTACAACGATTCTCCAAAGCAACAGTAGCCACTTGTCCAGTTTTATTAAAAAAAGAAGCAATCAATCGCTTAGAGGCACTTTGCACGCACGTCAATTTGGTCGGTTTCGGCTCATCTCGATAGACCCATAAGCTCGATTGCTGCTTTGCTTTGGGATCGTAACTATAAATCCATGTTTCGTCACCTGTTACTATGTGCCACACCACATTTGACGCCCCTTCGTTGAATCAGGTAAGCGTGGCATTGCACTAAGTGACGCGATCCGTTTTTTGAGCCTCAGTTAAATTGTGCGGGATCCACCGAGAGCACAGCTTTTTCACACCCAAATAATTGTGTAGTATAGATTGTGTTTGACTCACGCCTATGCCTAAAGATTCCCGAATCTCATGGTATATCACATGCCTGTCTGTTGTGATCATACGGCGCGCGGCATCGATGTTTTTGTTGTTCACGGCAGTGGACGAGCGACCATCACGAAATTCGTCACTGAGATTCACATACACACACACACTGCTATAAATAGTCGTCTTGCATGGTGCTTCATCGCCAAAAGCAGTTGAAGCCGAGCGAAGCTCCGCTGAGCTGTTAAGTTATACTTAAAATCGTAGAAAATCATACTACGAAAATTTTCACGAGTTAAATCCATGGTGATGTAGACAACCAATTTCTAAAATGACGCTACAACGTAAAAACAAGTGACAGTCAGATGAAACAAACTGTATTCTACAGCCAAACAGTTCCTTTTCCAAATGTTGTAATTACTTTTTAAATATTGTTTATGCAAGTGGCCAGTTCCGGAAACTTATAGTGCGCCCTATGTACTAAAGAACTTCTACGATTATCAAGTTATTCAAAACAGAATTATCCAGAACAGTGACTCCGAAAAGAATTTCTTGCTTTCTTATATATCTACGAAATGAAATGTTTAAGAATATTGGTGCAATTATTTTATTAAACTTCAATAAACAGTTTACTTACAATAATTGTTAGCGTTTTGAAACTGGCACTTATTGTGATACAGTTCTAGATAATATAATATTACTCTGTATTCAACTTATTTATTATGAAAATAGCCTGAAATTGCTGCCTAGTAATAAGACCACCCGTTGTGCTTTGTTAATGTTTGTTTGTTATACATTTGTTAATAACGCAGGTACTTATAATTTCTGTGCATGATTGTCATTCGAAGGCTAATCTTTGGCTTCTGAAAGACAAACAATTCTTATTCACGTAGGTACGAAGAATAGACTAACCGATAACCAGAAGCTATGAATTAACTTGTGCATTTGTTTGTTAATATAGTTAGTCACAATCGTAACCAGATGTGGCTTGCTTCTATCATTAGTCTATCTGAATGGGAACCTGGCGTCAACTCCAGAGTGTAACGTGTATGGTGACAGCCGTGAATTGGTTTATGTCATTGTTTTCATTTTGTTATCCTTCTTGTTGGGTCAGCGTTCATCGTATTTTTATGTTCTCATAGCATTTTGGATGCTGTGAAAATTGTTTACTTTGCCATTATCAACCATGTTCCAAACGCCGCTTAAAGGCAAATTGTGAACGTCTTTTGTTGTTGATTAGGTTTTTTTATAAATCGATCGCGACTTATACGCGTTTTATCTGTTTCATTGCATTTGTTTTCGTAAAGTGGGTTGCGTTCAACGAAAATGATCTCTTGCCGACTAAATAAAATACAGAGTATTCTACTTTGGAAACCATGTTTCCTGTACGACTTCTTTCGAGAATTTGCATTTGCAATGCTGCCGCTTGATGATTAGTGTATATTTTTATAAGTTATTGTCTTTTGAATATTATGAACGGGGCGTTGCGCTTACCTCGTCTTTTTCATCTTGTTTTTGTTCATAAATACCGTTATTTACTGTCAATAGATAACGTAATGTGCTTATTTATTTATACAATATTTCCCAGTGGTATTATATATCGTCGTGATTTCTCTTGTTCTTGTTTTTGCTTGTGTGTTTTTGACTGTCATGAAATATGTACAGTATTTCATTATTTATATATTTTATGCTTCACAGACAACCTTGTGTAAAAGTTAATGAGGTTTTACTAACTGCATTATGTCTTCATTTTCACTGATATGTAATGTCCAGTGTCAATATTACATGAATCACGAACCTACTACCTGTACCGTAAGATTTTGTTGTCGTTGATAAAAATGAAACATATGCCAATAAGTTTAAAGTACACTTTTAATTATTTAAGACCTAATTAAAAATATACTAGCATTCATTGACACAAGATTGTTTTTGGTTGAACTTACGGTTGTATTAGTAGGTAGGTTTTAAAGCTCACATAATTTTGATGCTGAATTGCTTAACTTAGCAATTATAATAGGAAATGTTTACACACAATGTAACAATTAGACAAAGATTTTCCAACGTTTAATTGCGGGCAACTATATCGATATGATGTTGCCAAAATCTGATAACACGTTTTATAACCCGAAACGAAACGATCATAGAACAATTAACTTAATACCGTAAGTTTTAAATTAAGTAATACAATTTTGGACCAAAATAAGCATCAAGCAAGCAAGCAGACAATTCATGTGTACATCAGGCCGACCAGGTCATTCAACTTGAACTTTAGAAGATTTGTTTAATCATATCAAGTGGCGGGACGAACAAGTCATGCTCGTGTATTGTCGTGTTCTGAACAAATGCATGTAGGCACGGTAGCACCATTGAATCACTAACTCAAGAGGACTACTAATTATCGGCATGTATTTAAATAATCCTTTTAAATTTGCAAAAGCAGCAGGCAAAAAATCTAAAAGGTCATATTTTTTAATGATTGATCCTTTTGCTCTGAGACATAAAATAAATTAAATTGATCGATATTTTAATCTGTTCTGAGCTTCGCAAAAAATGTTTCATTTCTATCAATTAACTTTGATAGTTTTATGTTGGGCCTCAAAATTAAGAGAAATGGGCATTAAAAATAAAATTTAGATACTTGTTTTTGAAACTAAGTAAATGTTGGTTATATTTGTATACTAACATTATATTAATTATAATATCATTTGACCTAAAAACCTGTTCGGAAACGCAAGCTTCTGGCACTCGCCGGCCGCTGCCGCGGCACGCTTGCTTCACTCGCTAAGCTCGTGTTGCTTTTTCATATACTAACTTAACCTAACCTACTTAATGGAGGGTGCAACCAAATAACCAAGATTTATTAGGAGATCAATATCAAAAGGTATACTGGTTATAAATGTCATCCATCGTTAAAAGAAAAGACCAATAATAAAAAAAAAGACGATGACATATTATTTTTGAATTTAGTAAAATATTAATTAAGTATGCTAAACATAACAATAGTGTTACCTTGAATGCAGTTCATGTATAATTTATCCGTAGATCAATTAATATAGACGAATTAATTAACATATATATATATCAAACATAAAAATATATCATTTATTTAAAAAAGTGTACATTTGAGGATCAAATAATATTATCCCCAAATAATCTCCACACTGCAGATCGTAATAACTCTGAAAAAGGTCAAAATTCCGTCTTCTAATATCTAGATATCAGGATGTCACTGATCAATAACCAGGAAGTAGTTCATATTATGTAAATGGCCGTGGATATCATTGAATTCCTCTATAATATGAAATATAAGAAGTCAGTCTTTTCCTTGTAATATTATTCAAATATTGATCATGAGTATCATAAACTTTGACAAGTATGCGTGTTAGTAGATGGCATTGTGTGTTACAAACTAATTTATAAATTAACGCTTCCTAATATGGGTAGATGGCGCTAATCCTAAACAAAATAAAAAATATCCATAAAAACAGTGCAATAAACGCCATCTAGTTGATTTGCGTAATGATAACTAAAAATTTGAGTAGCTTTGGTAAATTGCAACTTGTCAATGTAAAACAAATTAGTTATAAAAATAGCTATTTGGTACTCGTCGCGACGTCTGGTGTACCAATAGGTATTAAAAGCCAAACTACGCTGTCTTGTATAGCAATTTGCAGTCCTCTCGAGTTATTGTTTCATGGTAGCACTTAGTTTCATTTGCTGACAACAAGATAGAAATACTTGAAGTTGGCCACGTCCGCCTGAAGCACACACTTTGTATACAGGATGCGAGAGTCGGTGAATCGAAAACTAACCACGTAGATATCTATTCCATTCGCCTTAATTAGCATAATTTGGAATGGTCGGCCGTCAAATTTAAAAAATAATAGCAACCTGATTGTGTTTTGTTTCGAGATTCCAAATGTAACAATCTTTTTTTATAAGATACTTTATATTATTATATTTTTTTATAAGTGACGGGATACTGGTATCGTGTGCTTGGTGGTAGACGACACGCCCCTGTCAATAACAGTTGCAGTGCTTTAAATCACAAAGATCTGGGGGGCACTGCCACTGCGCTCGTCTCCCTGAGACAGAAGTTGATAAATCCCATGTGCCTGTAATTCTCTACTGCTTCTATAGCGACCAACTTCGGGAAATTACATTTGGAGTCCTTAGAAACATTGTTCAGGTTGACGCGTGTGACATAAGGTTTAAAGTTTTTGATACACCATCCCAAAGTCCTGTATATAAGGTTCTAATTTATTAGCTGATATCCTTTCGAGGACATTCGGAACCATGACAATCTATTTGCAATGCGAAAAAAGCAACTGATATCAGTCGGTAGGTGATTTTCAGATTTAGTTGACGATATTTGAGGCGAGTACGTTGGCACTTTTACTGTGGAACAACTAATATTTTTTCGCAATTTGAAAAGTGTCACAATTGTTTAGTTTAATTCACTGAACAGAAGATCAGCCAATATACATTTAGACCTTGTACACTTGGAGGCAATAAACCTTCGCTGGTTTTTATTTCGATTTTAATTATGCATTTCTTGGTAAAAACCGAACCAAGAGACATGAAATATAAAAAACAGCAGTGGCTTTTTGTTCCAGCCCAAGTGTGCTTTCTAGCTTTGGTCCACAGTACTTACCGTTGCAGTAGACGGCGTGAGATGATGAGCGTTGTGCCGATGATCGTACTTTTCGTTATTAACGATCTCATCATCATCATCGGTTTCAACAAGCTGAAAAGAACAATGTCATTACCTGTTCCTAAGTAATCTGGTACTTAAATTTATACAATACTTACTTGTAGACTGAGTCTACTTAGGCGCCTTCGTGAACTCTGGAAGTTATTTAAAACTGGTCATTTAGTATGATATGTTTATTTTGATAATATACTGGTAAGGTACAATAAAAGCTTAAGTACTAGAAAGTAAAACTAAGAGTTTTAAATTATATGAATAAAATTGAGTCCCCGCGGCAAGGAGCCCGAGATGCCGGCAACGTTCCTCCTTTGTATGGCTTTGGCTAATGCGTTGGGCAAGGTTGGGCCGACCATTGGGTTTCTCAGACAGTCTATTAATTTTTTCGATAAAATTTTGTACAGATGAAGGGCACCGAGACCCCACGGGCCAAGGGTATCGACCTCAAAGGCTGTAAATAGGTAGTCGGAGCCGAGATCCTGGTACTTATTACTTTTTATTTTTTCCGCCAGCTCAGCTGAGGAGCCAGTCTTCTTGCTGGTGTGCTGGGGATGGGATGGGGCAAGTATGTGGCGTCCCACACCAGTGCCCGGCCCATACTCCAAGGGATGAGAGTCATTCCGTTCGGGCGTTTGCCATCTTTCCCGACATGCCGCTTGACTCGAGCATAGTGGGCACGTTAACCGTAGCTAAGGCCCGGCGGATGATGTCGTTGAGGACTACATATAGGGAGATACGGCTGGCGCTCAGCTGGCAGGAAAGACCGTGGTGACCCAGAACACTTACGTCTGTTAGTTGTTTTTATTATTAAAAGCAATTTATAATGATAATTATAACGATGGAACATTTGATATTTTTTCATGAACGAGCTATTTCTTTTAGCAGTTATTGCCGTTTATATACTATTGTTTCTAGAGTAGATAAATAGGTTAAACTAGATTGACAGTCAAGGGTCAACACTAATCTTTAAGATAATATCAGTAAACCATACAGGAGGTATTGATTTGTGAACGCAAAAGAGCCTACTATTTTGTTTCGAGCAAATATTTCGAAATTATTAATTGCTTCTTTTGTTTCATCGGCTCGCCCTCTCCCTCTCGTCATCCGAAGTGTCAAATGTTCAAACGTTATTTTTGTTATTTAAGAATAAATAGTTCCTTCAATTATATCAGCTTTGCTTTTTAATACTATTTGAGTAAAGTGAGTGTTTTGTACATCGAGTACATAACCAGAAATAGAGACGAAATAAGGGCCTTCCATCCCTGGGAACTCATCAGTGAAATGGTACTGATGTCATTTTTAAATATCAACTCTCGTTTGCGTTGAAATCACAAATTAGAAAGCTGAAATAGTACAGCGCCAACAACTAAACTGTGTATATGTCTCCGTATATTCCAAAAATATTCTGTATTTATTGTAATAAAGATAATATCTCTAACTATGGAGGGCTGTTCCATTCGGTGGTGTGAGAAAAACAGCAAAACATCTAATTACAAAACAAACGGGATCACATTTCATCGGTAATTAAATATTAAATTATGTATTTTTTTATTATAGTCCATTATAGCAAAGCTCAAGTTAAACTGGTGAATTTGAAGTGAAACAATTGACGACACTCGTCAATTGTTTCGAATTCGGGCTGGCCAATCGGAGCGCAGTTGTCACAGTAACGATTCGGCAGAAGAGTTTTCAAAGAAATTAAATCACATTTCGTCTCTATTTCTGGTCATATACTCGATGTTTTATTAGATGAATTTTGTGCGTTCTGAAATTATAGATAATTTCAGTTAAATCTTCGGTGTCATTTTTCTGTTAATTATTAACAGGAAAATGACACAGAAACTACACCACAGCGACTTCGATCCAATTCTCAAAATCAAATAAAATAAATACTTTTCTATGCTGAGGTAGTTGTGAGATTTCTGGATCTGACCTCAGAGTTATTGTTATTCTGGTACTCATAATATAGAAAATTCTCTTATTTGGATAAAATTTCATTCGGTACCAGTAAAAGTTAATACTACCTAACCTCATTGGTCATTTGCCTGTCTTGCAGGAAGTATGTTTGAAAACGTATCGTATTTATTTGGTTTGAATAACTTACTGGAGACGGTCTGGCGGTGACGACAGCCAAAATCACCCCTAAAACTATAATGAACTTCATTTTTCTGATTATTTTGACCGAATAAGATGTTTTTCCGTAAAATCGGCTTTATAAAACCGCGCATAGGATGCGTAGAAAATGAACATTAATAAGTTCTTGGTAGCAATTAGTACGCGTGAAATTTGTGCTATCCAACTTTTTATAATTGCACATTTTTATTAGCATGGACGACATGTTTTTGATTAAATTTTAATAAAATCAATTACATGCACTGTTGTTACGAATATATCCTACATTTTGCCTAACGGAGCATGGAAACACCCCGTTATGTTATTTTTTCAGGCGAGTCACAGGAGAAGAAGCGGGAAGAATGTTTTGGTAGATTAAATGGCTTAGGTATTTACTATTAAATACCGATCTTACAAAAAATACATGATACACCTAAGGATATTGTCTAAAGAATGTGCTAATATGTTACACGATAGGATGTACTTCACCCGATCATATAAAATCCTGAAAACGGGCTAAAATAAAAGTCTGAACCAAATTATTTAAAAATAATATATCTAATTCTGCGCATAACTTTGATAAGGGAGATATTTCTCTTTAAGTACTATAGAAACCTGCAAAATTTTGATTTCACATTTATCTCATTTGAAATCGTCAATTTGAAAATTGCCTAGCGGTGTACCGACGCGCCGCGTAGTCAGTTGCCTCGTCAGTCGCCATAGCGCGATTGTCAGCGTCGGATCTGTATCAAAGGATCCCTTAATTTTTGGGCCCGATTGTGTACCGAGGTACAACTTATGTCAAAAAATTTCCAAATTTACGTAGGAAAGTGTCCGTCAACTGAAATCTTTAATTTTAATAGAAATTGCTGAAAAATGCAATTTTAGAATTATATGAATAAATGATACTGCGTTCGACGAAACGTACATTGTCATGATTTAACAGCTTTTGTAGTGAATGATCGGGTTCGATCGAGAGAATGTCCGTAAAGTATAGCCAGATGTCAATGATGAATATATCAAAGACACAAATAGTAATAATCTATATACGAGAATCAAAGGAAACACAGAACAGAATGAATGAATTATTGCCCTTATAGCTTAGACTATGGAAACCAATGTATGGAAGAAAAAATGGATTCTTTTCTCCGCCTGTTCTTATTTTATTTATATTAATTTTCAGCGCGCGAGTTGCGGGACGCGACGGGCATACACGTCACCTAATACGTCACACACCGTCGAAATACTTCGCCTTAAAAGCCTTTCCGTTGTTCTAATAAAAATCTTTGTTGGACTATTTCTACGAAATTGCCCCTTTTATCGCAACTCACTGCTTAAAGTATATTGAGAGAAAAACGCCTCCAATTATAGCATAGCTAAATAGCCCCGCACTAGGGAAACCCTGTGTCGCGGGTGCCATGGACACACACATAGACAACCACAAATTACACCCAAACTTACGGGAGAAATAAATGTAGGCCATACAAATATTTCTCTGGGACCTCTGCGTGGCAGTCCGGTATGGTAACCGTTCGGCCACGTAGGCAGTTCAAATAACTGCTCCTTATAAAATTTAGGCGCTATTTATAAAAATAAGTCTTCATGCGAGAACATTCCGCCTTCCTTTGAAAACTTGTCTTTCAACCAGTAATAGGTACTTGCCTAAGGAAGTGGACAAATTTTTGAAAAGGATCTTACAATTCCCGTAGAAGTTTTGATTTCGGCCACACAGCTACAATTCGATCCATTTAATTTTAACAGTGCTAGATTGTCCTCTTTTAGAACTACTTAAGTGTAAAAGGGTGATAAAAAGGTGGGATGACGATAAAAGTGCACGCATCGTCACATGTGTGTTTCCGTATGTTCATAATGCACTTTGAAATTGACAAACCATAGCCCTATCTAGGTGGTATCTACTAAATGTCGTTGGGTTCGTTTCGTTGGTTTGTATACAAAATGGGTACTACCTTTCCAACAAAAAAGAAGCCACGAAATCAGTTCAAAAATGTCGGAGTACCACACAGTAGTAGTAGAGCTCCTTGTGAAAGAGTTCGTCCAGGGAAGTACTGCCACGTTACCTATTTCTGCCGTCAAGCAGTAATGTCAGCATTAGTGTGTTCCGGTTTAGAAGGGTAAGGGGACTTAGGAAATGAAACTATTTTTGTGGATTTAAATTATATTGGTTTTTTCAAACAAACATTTTTAGTTCGTTTGAAAAAACAAATATACGAGATTTAAATAATAATAATAATAACGTACACACTCAACACAGCCCCGCACTAGTGAAACCTTGTGTCGCGGGTGCCATGGACACACACATAGACAACCACAAATTACACCCAAACTCCCGAGAGAAATAAATGAAAGCCATACAAATGAGGCCACGAAGGCAGTCAAATCCGGAAAAATAGTTTCATTTTCTATGTGTAACAACCGCGAAAACTTAAGAACTCGACACATGGGACTTGTCAACTTAAATCTCTGAATGACACTGCAACTGTTATGGATAGATGTGTCGCTTACCACCAGACACCAATCACCGAGTATTGTAAAATAATACACAAAAAAGCAGTTGAATTGAGAACCTCCTTTTTTTTAAGTCGGTCAAAAACGAAATACCGCCTACCTTCTTAACCTATTGGCACTTCTGCACTTTTTGCATCCTTGGTGTATTAAGGCCATCTTTGCAAAATTACAATTTTTCAACGAACAAACGAAATTAGTTGATAAGTTTTATATGCTTAATTAGTAAAGTTATAAAATTTTACTTACACGCAATTTGTGTCTTGTAGTTTGTATTATTTTTATGACTCATGTGATAATGATATTTTATGCAACGATTGCATACAATTCTTTTCTACGAGTAAATAAAAATAATAACACAATCAATATTTAATGTATATATTTTGTTAACAATGCATGACAACAAACTCAAAAGAAAACAACAAAGGCTACAAAACAAAAACCAAAGAGACTGAATAGATGAGTCCGTGATTGGCCAAGTATTGCTTGTATTTTAACCAATCAGGAGGCAGTAGAGCGTCTGTGTACATTTGGTATTATAATTAACCAAAATGCGACGTTCTTTTTTTAAAACTCATTATAATTCTGTGTACAACGCCATAACTAGCTGAATCCTGGATTGATAATGCATATATTTTATAGGCCAGGATTTAGCTTAGTTTTAAAATTTAAATGATAATGTCCTAATTACAAAAATGCATAATTTTTCTGTACAATAACCAGGTGTTAAATGTAATTTCACTTAATTATAGCTATACATAATTGTTAAGTAGTAAAATAATGAAGTATGTATTTTGAAACCGCCTAAACCACAATACAATTTGACCAATATTGGAATTTGTTTTTCCGTACATAGTTTTCCGTATCATACAGAGATAAGGTTTTAAAATATAATAATATAATTCAATTATGTGTTTCGATGTATTTGGTCTTTTTTCGGTTTATTCCTAGTAGTTCCAAGTAATCAGTTCCACATGGAACAATAATTGTAACCCAAAAGTTCCATGCATGGAACAAGTGCGAATAAATTTAATGTTTTTATCTTTATTGCCATTACTTCCATATGTACAAAAATTGTTAAAGCTGCACATCATGGTTGTTTTTGCCATTTCTCAAAAAATTTTTGGATAGAGGCCAAAAAATGTAATTTGTTCAAAAATAATGATTTACGAAAAATTGTTAACACTGGTTAACCGGTTACCTTTGCTACTGGAAGAGAGAAAGAAGGCTTTAATTAAATAAAAACTGAAACTGAAGAAATGGGACTCGCTGATAAAAATGTAGAAAAGTTCATGATATACATGAATTGGATGGAAGATAACTTTATAAAGCCGTGGTGTTCTGTCGGACAGCATCATAGAACGACCAACTCGTTGGAGGTCTGGCACAGCAAAATCAACAGCAATTCTAAGATGAGACCACCAATGATTCTCCAGTTTACCTTTATTTTAGAAGATTTCTCTTTTTACGCGGTACGTGTAGTACAGTTGTAAAATGACTTGAAACCCCATGCAAAACGCAGGAGAATTATTATTGAAAAATATATTTACATTCAAAATTTACAAATTAAGCTAGTAACAGGAAAAATGTGTGTCGGTTTCTTTTTAGAACAGTTACGCTAAACATCCCAAGTTATAATTTATTAAAAACTGCCCTAATTACTGCATTAAAAAAAAAATTATGATATTTCCTTTCAGTTTTAAAAGCATGGACAATAATTATCTAGGTTTCATATTCTGCACGGGAGTCAATAATATTTTTATAATGTGTGGAAACAGTGTTTTGTTATCGCATGTTCTTCGTTTATAGACTTTAAAAATATATGTCCATCCTGGAAATGGGGTTAATGAACTTCTAAACATCTGATGAGGAAAAAATTACATGGAACTACTAGGAATAATTATGACATATTAAGGTTACAATTGTACCACATGGAACTGAGTACGTACATGGAACTATTGTAAAACCTTTTTACAATAGTTCCATTAGCCACTACGGTGGCTAATGGCCTAGGTGGTTTCCAAAAGTGGCTCGTGAAATGTTTTTGTACCTTCAACAAGCAGGTTACTTTACGTTTGTCTTTATAAAATATATAATTTTGCATATAATACTGCATAATATAAAAAAGGCCTAGAGGCAGACCAACTTACGCTTGCTATCTTACTACATTGCTTAATGATTTCCAATGTAAAAACAAAAAGAATGTTACATTATTTTCAACGGTTTATTTTAAAATTCAAAATTGGACGCGTAGGGGAACGGCCGTCGCCTAGCAACCGCCGCGGGTACAGAGCAGCCAATCGCACAGAATAATTGATTTACTGATCGTAATTGATTCGAGTTTCGAATTTTAGCCACGGGGCTTGTTTATCTCAGGGAAATTTTATTTAATTGAATTTTTTGTAGCACGGTTGTTTATTATCGTAATTTTTTTGCTCTTTTTTGTACAGGTGATTTTAAATTAAAGTTGATTGTGGTTCAAAGATTAGTTCAGTTTGAAATGCAAAAAGAGAAAGAGTTAGGTTATACGTCAGGTGATATGGTGTTGTTAATACGGAGTCGATATTTAAACA